ACAGCTCTCCTGCTAAGCGGTCCTTTTGAGGCGGGTCGGGTCAGTGTCTCCACTGCAGGGTGGGCAGCTGAGCCCCGGGACCCTGGGCGTCACCGTGGAGTGACGAGAAGGCCCCCGGCCCGATCTGAGTCCAAGGCCTCCCATGCGAGCGTCTGTGACCACATGTGACCACGTGACTTCCCCAGACCCCAGAGTGGCTGCCTTCACATCTGGCAAATGGGACAGTAATGTCACCCAGCTCGTGTGACACCACCCAGCCTGCTACCCAGAGGAGAGCTCGGACGGAGGACACAGGCATTCTCGGCTCCGACCGCCCCCACCCCTGCCTCTCAGCCCTCAGCACTGACCAGGCCCTCGGTTGACTGGGCTCTGCCCACCTGGCCCCGAGCCACGCGCTCTGCTGCCTCGTCTCACAGACCCTGGCGCAGCGGGCACCGCCCGTTCTGTGGGAAGGACCTCGAGTCGTTCAGAGAACGGTCGGAGACTGCGGCTCTGCCCACCCTGGGGCTCCCACGTGGCCCGCACGGCCGGTGGTGCACTGTGTTCTTTGGGGTTTCCATGGTGCTGTGTCACCAGCCCCCGGCCCAGCGCACAGTATGTGCTCAGTGAACACTTGCTGTGAATGACCGAAGGCAAGAAGGTTCGAGGCCCCCATGAGATGAGGAGAGCGGGCGCTGTGCCAGAGGAGCAGAGAGGGAACTGAGGGTGGCTGGCGTTGGCACTCCCTTTGGGCAGGTGACCGTCGGGACAGGGTGTGACAGAGCCACCGCGTGGGTGTGGGGCTGTTTCGAGGTCCCAGGTTTGCAGAGGAGGGGAGTAACGAAGCAGCGTTCGTTAATGACAGAGAGGCTGACCTTGACTGAGCACCCACCTGGTGCCAGGCCTTAAATGTGCCAGCTCTTTCTGGGTCTCCTAAGGCCCTCGACATGGGGTGCCCTGCAGTGACTGCAGACAGCCCAGAGAGGTGCAGCCCCGGCCCCCGGCCACCCAGCAGCCTGGCTGCAGCCGGCGCCACGCACCCCTGCTCAGAAGCCACCTCCCTGGCGGTTCACGCCCGCCACATCTCGGGGGCCCTTTCCCAGCGCCTTCTCCCCACCTTCCCCGACCAGCCATGCTCGCGTCCCCTCTCCACTTGCCTTTCCTCAACATGCTGCCTCCGGAACAAACCCCCAGAAGTGCCTTCTCTCGCCCTCCAACAGCCCCCCACCCCCGCCTTTCTCTCTGCCTGCCTGTGCCTTCCACACGGGGCAACAGTGCCAGCCAGGGACGGCAGCAAGACGCGGGCTGGCACCCTGTCAAGGAATTAATTGAAAAATAAAATCATTAGATAGGAACTCCAGAAATGCAAAATGGTGGTTGGGGGGGAGGGGGCAGAGCGGTGGGGGGGTTGTTGGGGGCCGGCTGAGCTTTGTCAAGTTAATTTCTTGGGTACGGATGTTGGTGACATTCACTTGCTGTTTATCTCCGGGTGCAGCTGCAGTGCTGAAAGAAAAGGCGAAGCTTGTTTTGTTTGTTTATTTTACACCTTTCTCTGGTTCTGCATTATGTTTGTTTGGTGAAAACCCACTGAGGCTTTTGATGTCGGGGAAGTGGGATCGCAGCCGCTGCCCCGGCAAGCAGGGGCTCCGTGTGCTGGCAGCGCCGGCGGGCCCTGCTGGGTGGCATTTGGGGGGGGGGGGGGTTCAGGGCCTGCCGTGGCCTCTGGGGGGTGTATCTGGGGGCCCGACCTGAGCCAGCAACACCAGGCCCACAAGAGCAGTAGCCGCATGACCCGAAACGCTCTTGCAAGTCCTTGCCGTTGCCCCAGGAGACGGGCCCTGCCTTGTCCCTGAGGCACAGGCCCAGAGAGCAGCAGGGGCTCAGCCAAGGTCACCGAGTGGTGAAGTCACAGAGCCGTCCTCGGCCGTGGAGCCAGTCGGCAGCCTGCCCCCCACGCCTCTGCCAGGACACGGTGGGTGCCTCTGCGCCTCCGTTTTCCGACCCGGGTGGGGGAGGGCTGTGCCTCCCTGGGCCTCGATGTACTGGCCTTCCTGTGGCAGGCCCCAGCTGTGGGCACGCGGCAGCCCAGCGGCGGTACCGGAGACGGAGATGCTGACCTCAGCACCGTCAGTGGGCCCCTCGGGGGCTGGGCGTTTCTCTCTTCACTTCTTGGCCACCCCAGCAACCCCCTGAGGAGAGGGGGTCCCCACTTTGCAGGTTAGGGGAATGGAGGCACAGAGGGGCTGGGTCCGTGGTGGGGCTGTGGCGCCAGAGCCTGCAGGAAGGAGGAACCCCCCTGCTCCGGGGGTCAGCAGACTGGCCGCAGAAGTGGAGGGGGTGGGGGACCCGCCCTGCTCCCCCGTTTTAAACAAGGGATTGAGTCTCAGGTGGCGCGTGTGCCGCCTGAGTTCACACACCTGGGAAGGGGCCGAGGCCTCGCGGGCCTCGCTCTGAAGCCACACGTGGGACCTTGTGCCCTTCCACGGGGTCCAGTATGACCTCGGCTGTGTCCCCGCCCGAGGCAGGGCCCCTTGGGAGCTGCCACCTGCCACCACACAGCAGCAGGTGTGGGCTGCAGATTGGATGCAGGGAGGCTGCCGCGCACTGGCTGCAGGCCTTTGGGGCGGTCTGGCCTCTGCACCTCCATCCTCCCCCCTGGGGGGCGAGGCGGCAGTGCCCACCCCAGGGGTGGGGGAGCTTGTGGGGCCCGGACGACGTGCTGCTGGCGTCTTGCCCGTTCCAGCAGCGTCCGCCTCCCTCCTGGCCTCAGTTTCCCCAGCCAGGTAACATCTCGGGTGCCTCCCTGCCCTGCTGCTTCATTGTCTTACTGTTTTCCGACATCAGCAGCTTTAATTTTAAAGAATTACTCACCCTGTAGCCATTCTCTTGTTCAACCAAAGGTCACAGAGCACCCACCCGTGGGCCCTGGGACACGGCTACCCGCCCCCACCGCCACTCCCGGTGTCTGTCGCTGGGAGGGGGTGTCAGTGACAGGCCCGCAGGCCCTATTTTGCTGCTCTTCCATTTCCCAGTTCCTATTACCTGCCCACAAATTCAATTTTCAGAGGCCATTGTGCACCTCCAGAGCCTGCGATTATCCAGAAACCAGGAGCATGGGGGAGGGGCAGGAACGGAAGCGGTGTCTCAGTAGGGGGTGGGGGAGCTGCTGCCCCTGCCCTCAGCCCATCCTGGCCCCTCCCTTCTCATGATTAGCAGTGACGGGTACAGCTGCCAGGCCTCCAGGCTCCTGGGCAGAGGTGGGAGGCAGCCTCACCGAGGGGGGAGCTCGCCGCCTCCCCGCTTCCCATGCAGTTCGCTCAGCTCCTCGTTTGGCAAACATTGAGCTCCCACCAGGCACCAGGCGGTGTGCAAAGAGAGGGGACTCAGAGGGGATGGGACAGCGTCCCACACGCAGAGATGCCTGCCATGGGGAGCAGGGTAGAGGGTAGGGGTCCTCTTTTCCATGGCGGCCAGGGGAGTCCTCCAAGGGGCCGATGAGGTTTGAGTGAGTTGGGGCCTGGTGCCTCCAGACATGGAGGTGTTGAGGCTAGAGCTCACTGCACATGTCTGGAGGAGGGGCTGGCTCAAGGGAGATCGACAGAGGGCTTCAGATTTCTCTTGTATGTTCTAGAAGGGTCCCTCGGGCTTCTGTGTAGAGAATTAGAACGGGCGGTGGTGAGGGCAGGGGCAGCATCTCCCATGAGACGGGGCTGGTAGCTGTGGAGATGAGAAAAAAGGTCAGTGTCCCAGGCAGTTTGGGAAGAATGACATAAAAACTGGGCTTGAAAAGGCTGGGACATGTGCCCAGGACCACCTAGAAAAGACCCAAGATTCCCCGTCCCTGGGGCCAGCGCTGGGCTGGACTCCGAGGGCACCCAGGTGAGAGGGACAGCCTGGGGGCAGCCCCGAGGCCAGCGGGGCAGTGCTTCCATCCGGGAGACCTCACAGAGGAGGCACTGGAGCTGGGCAGCCAAGGGGATTGGAACCGCCTGCCCACAGCGGCCTTGGTTCAAGTCCAGGTCTGTCCGTGAGGGCGGCTGGCCATTCACGAGGGGTTAGGCGAGCAGACGGGACCGAGCAGGCCGGCCTCAAGCCCAGCTGCCCCACTTCGTATCTTTCCCGGACAGTCGGGGGACCAGCGCACCCTCTGCTGCCTCCTTTTGTCTCCCCGGCGTTCTTTGGCCAGCAATGGAGACTTGCTTGAAAATGGAAAGGCTGGGCTTTGGTGTGGCTGGGGTTCAAATCTTGGCTTCCTGTCTGTGGCACGTAATAGGTATGCAGTCAATAGTGTTAGGGGCCCAGAGGGCATGTATTTTGCTGAGCCCACCATGCCCTTCCATAGTTCATGCTGTGCGTCTCCTTGCCTTTTCCCTTTGCCTCATGGAGAACTCTGCATTCTTCAAAGCCCAGCTCAAATCGCCCATTCTCATTAGAACCACCTCTGGCTTGCTCCTCCCTCCAGGCTTCCTCTGGAATCCTTGAGCAACTATTCACCCAGTGTTTATTGAGCACCTACTGCACGCTAGCTGAGTACTAGAGGGTTAAGGGTCAGCGACTCCTTGTTGCCTCAGCCCTTGCCCTGGCCAGTCCGCCCACAGGAGGCAGGGCTGCCTCAACCCCTGAGCTGCTGGGGGAGGCCTCCCTCCCTCCCCTTCCAAATGGGATCCTTCCCTCCCTGGGAGGAGATGGGGGAAGGTGGCCCCCATGGCAAAGCTGAGACTCACCGGTCCTCTCTCTCTTCTCTCCCTTGGTTCCCCCCCCCCCGCCTTGCTTCCCCCTGGCCGCCTCCTCCCTCCTACCTCCCCTTCCACTCTTGGTCTTTCATCTTTTCTTATTGTTCGTGTGTCTCCTCTCTCTCACCACGTCCCATCTTCCTGTTCTTGTGTTTCCATCCTCCCGTGCCCCTCCCCGTTCTGCTCGCCCCTCTCCCCCTCCCTCCCCCCTCCCCGCCATCTCTCGCTTCCTGCCTCCAACCCTCTCGGCTGTTCTTTTCTCCTCTCTCGCCATCTGGGCTCCCACAGAGCCCCCAAAGAAAAAGCGGTCTGTGGTGTTGGACGGGATCCTGGAGCAGCTGGAAGACAGTGACAACGACAGTGAGGAGCAAACCCTTGAGCTGCGAGCTGGCACCGAGCGGGTACGTGACTCCAGGGCCCTGAGGACCAGGGACAGCCGCTCTTGCTCCCGCGCTCCCTGCCACGTGAGCGGGGCGCAGTGCCCATCGCGGTCCGAGGGCAGAGGGGACGGCAGCTCCGTCCCTGGCCCCGCCGTGTGCTGCTCTCACGAGAGTTCTCCAGCTCACTCCTCCTCCCCAAGGCCCTGAGACGGGACAGGGTCCCATCCTGCTGGCAGGAAGGTCAGGGCACAGGGGGGTCCTGGCTTTGCTCCAGGGCCCCAGCGCCTGGGAGTAAGAACCCAGCACCCCGGTGCCCCAGCCTGTGAGGCTTAAGGCAGCTCCTTGGAGTTGGGGTTCCACTCCACTGGGACCCCGGCCCTGCTGCGCAGCCTCCCTGGGCCGAGCCACCTCCCCACTGTCTGGTCCCGGCCTCTCGAGGCATTGGTGAGAGAGGGAACGGCACGGTGACCCATGGGAAGTGCCAGGCACAGGGTCGAGGGTGTGCAACGGCCTCCAGAAGCTTCCATTCTCACCTTCCCCTCCAGGGTTGCTGAGCTAGAGTCCTGCCTGCATTTGTCTGCTCACAGCTCAGGACTTGGCCTCAGTCCCGCCCCATCCTCGTCACGACACTACGAGCCCTGTTTCCGTCCCCCGGGTGTCCCCCGACCCTGCTGACCAGGGCTGGGGAGGCCTCTGAGCTGCCCAGGAAGCCCCGGCTCTGAGCCCAGACACCAGGCCTGCTGGTGGGGCCCAGCTGTGTCCCTGACGGTGGACACCCCGTGCTCACAGGCTGGGGGCCCTATGCAATTCATCCAGGTCCCCAGCCCCGGCGAGCAGTGTTCTCAGGCCAACCCCGGCCTGGGGTGCCCACGCATGCACCCCGACTCCCGCCTGGAGAGTGCATCGCGCCCGCGGGAGGGCTCGAGCCCCACGCACACTGGGGAGCAGCAGGCCCCAGTGACTGGGTCTGAACCGTAGCCGTCCGCGCCCAGCTGTGTGATGTCACACCCCCAAGGGCCCTTCTGACCCTCAGCGTCTGTTTCTCTAAAATGGGGGTCCTGCTGTACCTCCCTCGGAGGTGGGGGTTGGACTCAGTCGGTGCCCTCGGCCCTTGTGTTTACTCCTCGCTGGGGCCTGTGGGGGCTCCAAGCGAGGGTCCAAGAACCTTGTATCTTTTTGCCTAAAGCTTGGTCTGTGCATTTTGGGGGTTCAGTCTTCATCCAGCTGGCAGAGTGGCCCGGGAGCCCAGCCATGCCCCACACCCCGGCTGCCCTGCGAGGCTCAGCACCCCTGCCTCCTGTGCGCCCGGCGTCTCCCTGCAGGCCTCGCTCGTCGCTGGGAGCTCACAGAACTGACTGCAGAAACAATTGTGGAGCCGCAGGGTGTCCCGCAGACTCCAGGCGGCCACAGCTTCTGGGTGGTGGCTATGGTGGGGCGCGTATCGAACCACCTGGCCAGACCCTCGGGCTCCCAACGGGCGGGACAGAACCAGGAGGAGGCCGCGACCCAGGCAGGAGTGGAGCCGGCTCCCAGGAGAGGCGAGGTGGTGCCCCAGGACCATGGGCTTCGGCGGGGTCCCTTGCCCCTGCCAGGCCTGTGGGCCCAGGTGTTCAGGACGGGGCTTGAGTGGCAGGTGCGAAGCCAGGCTACTCCGTGCCAGGGCCACGCCTGGGTGCCTCGGCCATCTCCACCTGCTCTGAGCCCTGCCGGTCCCATTTCCCAGGCTCCCCTGCCAACAGTGCTTCCCGCCAGGCTTGGCCAGGGGAGCACCAACGGGCAGCTGGGGGCCAGGGCACCCAGCCCTCCGTTCTTCGTGGCTTCTCCACTGAGAGGCCAGCCCTGGATTCTAGCCCTACCGCCACCTCCCGGAGGCCATGCAGGCAGAGTGCTGTCTCCCCGGCACCCAGCCCTTGGCTCCTGCAGCTCCTCCGGACGAGGTCCGAGTCCCCTCCATGGAGCTGCCTGACAGGGACAGCGAGGACGTGGGGAGCCAGCAAGGCCTGCCCCCGGGGTGACTGGAGGGAGGCTTGGAGCTGGCCTCGTGGAGGGACAGAGGGAGTGGCGTTGGGAGACAGGAGCGCGGCTGGCTTGTGTGCATGGGGGTCCGGCAGCTGCAGAGCTTGGCGGTCTGCAGGGTGAGCCCCTGGGGCACAGGGAGAAGAGCCCTGACGGGTGGGAGGGGTTTGGGAATATGCAGGCTCAGGGGAGGAGCACGGGCAGCCGAGCCCTCGGGCCTGGTGGGTGGGACGCACAGGCCACCTGCAGGAGGGGCCAGTGGTCAGGCAGGAGGACAGAGGTGAGGGACAGGGAGGCGCGTTTCTCCCAGAGAGCTAGATGGGAGTCTCAGCTCCGCACCCAGTGCCCAGGTGACCTGCAGCCAGGGGCTCGGCGTCTCCTGTCTTCATTTCCCTGCCTTTAAAATGGGTGTAAGAGGAATTCTGCCTCCTACGACTGTTTTTAAGATTAAATAAAAGATTGTGGATGGAAGGCACTCAGCAGGCCGTTGTTTCATGCCTGCTGAACACCAAATAACACCATCGCAGTTAGTGTTGTTAACAGTTAACAGAGGGAGGAGCTGTCGGCGCTGCCCCCGGTGAGTGCCGAGGAAGTCAGACCCCAGCTCAGGTCCAGCAGGCCTGCAGGGAGGGCCACATCAGGGCAGATAGCACGGGGAGCCACCAGGAGGAGGTTGTGGTGGGAAGGAAGGAGTCCACGAACCCAGGAAGGTGGCCTGCCGTCCGGGGAGGAGCGGCGCCCTCTGGCCACCAGCCCCAGAGCAGGCTGGGCAGGCACACGGTTCACCCAGTCCGTCCTTATGCAGAGTCAGGGACAGGCCCCAGGGGCCAGTGGTTGCTGTGTTTGTTCCCAACCCCTTTCATCTGCGGCCCTGCAGGGCGGGGGGGATGGGCACTGGCAATGTACCTGAAAGTCAGGTTCTGGGTCCTCGTCAGCATCCCACCAGCAAAGGCCCACGGCCATGGGGTGATGCCTGGGTGTGCTGGGGAGGCCTGCCTCCTTCCTCCTGGGAAATGCAAGCTGGCTTCCTCCGGCCGGCTTGCACACAGGGCAGGGGCGCAAGCGAAGGCACCTTGTGGCTTTTCAGAAAGGCTAGGCCGAACGGGCACAGCCGAATGCTAATCCTCACCCCATCTATTCACCCACCCATCCGTCAGACGCGTAGTTGGCGCCCTGGGGGAGAGGCACTGTTGGACACCTGGGAAACCAGGGCAGAAACGCTGGGGCCGCCCTCAGGCCCGTCTCCCAACAGGGCGACCCACGCGCCAGGTGGGAGACAGCTTCCGGCGGCCTTGGCCTCGGTGCTCCCTCGGGTCCTCTCCCCGCCTCCTCGGGCCCTTTTGTCTTGTGGCCTGGCCAGCCCTCGCAGCGCCCGCCTGTGCTCCGCCGCGTCCAGGAAGGGATTAGTGCGAGCCGAGCACGCAGGCTTTGGTGAACAGAGCCGAGTTTGGTTTCAACATCTAATTCAATTTGTTCTGCCGAGATTGAAATATGAAATGGTTGCCAGTCAAACGTTCAAAGGACGGCAAGCGCCTGCTGAAATTTGAATTTTAATGAAAATGACTTTAACCCTTTGGTGCACCTTGCAGGAAGGAAACACTCCTGCGTTCTGCGGAGCCGCCTCTCGGGTTGTCCCCTCCGCCCGCTCCTCCCCTGCCGAGTTCACTAGTAACACGGCCGGTCTGTCCAGCAGCAGTAGCGCCGAAAGACCAAGGGATACTTGCTTAATGACAACTTCTTCTCCCCTATTGCCCCGGCTGTGGGAAAACAGGCATCTCCTGCTCTGGACGACTTTGACAAGCCCCGTGCAGACCAGCCCAGGCCCCGCTAGATGCCCTCGGCACACCCGACCTCCTCCTCGGCCCCTGTCCCAGTTGCGAGTGTGTGTCTGTGTTGTGGCTCCACGTCAGTCCTCCCCGGGGACTGTAAACCCCGGGAGAGCAGAGGTGCGCAGAGCCCCTCACCCCCGCCTGGCGGGGCTGAAGGAGGGGAGAGCGCCCCTCTCCGTCCTCCCAGCAGCTGTGGGGGGTGATGTGGGAATATAGACGTCCGTGGAAGCTCAGAGAGGCAGGAGACCCTCCCCAGGTGACACCGCACACAGCTCTCCTGCTGCCAGGGCCGCACATGGTGCGGTTTCCGTCAACCTCCGGGTGAGTGTTACGGCTGAGTGTGCGGTGGCTGTGGCATCCTAGGGCACCAAGGCGAGGAGTGAGGGTGGTAGGGTGGCCCTGGGACTCCCCTGAGGACACTCAGCTCCCAGGGGCTGAGCCCTTGGCCTCATCCTCGAGGACTCGCAGAGCCAGGCAGCCCCAGGAGAACCGAAGACACCTCGGTGCGTGCGCGCATCCTCCAGACGTTCGTCCCTCCTGCCCTGGGTGCGAGGGAGGCAGCGAGCAGATGTCGCCGAGGCTGTGTTCTCCACGGGGTGCCCGGAGGTGCTGGCCCCCCGAGGGGCCAAAGGCACAGTGGGAAGTCATCGGCTTTTCTTCAGGAAATCTAGGGAGCAGCGTGGGAAACTGAGTCCTGAGTAGGCAGAGCCGGGAAATCCAGCTTGAAGTTCACAGATTTCCAGTTCATTTTGAAGCCATTTCTAGATGGTTCCAAACTCTTTTGGCCATAGGACCCTTTTTTCCAAACCAAAGTCTTATGCAGAACCTAACACAGACCACAGATAAAGCAGAACTGCTGTTCTAAGTCAGGGCCCAAGGACCAGCCCCCACACATTCAACCTCCCCCTCAGCAGCCGAGAGCTTGGAAAACCGTTGAGTTAAGCGGCCTCACGAGGCGTGGATGACTTTCTGCGGCCCGCAGAGAGACTGGTTTCAATTTTTAATTTGTGGGTTTATTTGCACGTGTGTGTTACAAGTACCCAGCTCATCAAACCTGTGATTTTGCCAGGCTCTAAGAAGGAGATAAAAAATACAGTGAATTAGTATCAAGAAAATCATTAAGAACATAAACGTAGTAAGTGGTGAGGCAAGTGCTGGAGGAGTCTAAGCCCGGGG